TTCCCACAAGGTACTAGTCTTAGTACTAGTATTGGTAATAAATTCAGTATAAGTATCAGCTTGAGTATGAGCATCCCTAAACCGTAAACCCTGAACCGTATGAGTTAGAAGCTGCCCCCACCCTGTAATAGTGGTATAATAGGAATATAATAGGGCCCTAATATCATATTAATATAATCCTTATGGTCACTATTACAGGGTGGGGGCAGCTTCTAACGTATGAGCATTAGCAGTTTAACCATCCCGTAATCATGAGACCCGAAGGGCTCTCCTTCTGGTGGCTGGGATGCCTTTCGGGAAAGTGCCTATGCAATCTCCCTTCGTTTTATCTAGGATGCCCAGTAGTACCCTTAATTCCCTTTTTCTAGTCCTAGGTTCCTTATAAAGTTACCCAATACCAAAAAGAGAGGCCTTTTTATTCCTAGGTTACTGGGTATCCTAGTTAACGTTAGGGTTCCATAAGGGGTTCCTTGTAGAGGGGGTCTGTAAGGGTTACTATAAGGGATCTATAAGGGTACTACTATGGTATAGGGGCCTTAGTACTTACCTGTAAAATTTTGGGGGTTCGTTATCGTGGGCCCCAAAACCCTATTCTAGCAATTAAGGCCCCTATAGTAGGAACCCAGACAAGCAGTTGAACATAAGCCTTTACAGGCAGTGTCCCGATGAAGTAACCCAAAACTCCCAAAGCCTTGTTTCAATAGGTTTGTCACTGTCCACGGGTCCTGGGCTAGACCCAAGCCCTTTAGCCTAGCAGAAAGCAGGTCCAGACCAGGACGGATGAGCTGCTGTCGCAGATGCGCGCGAACCACCAGCAGGAGCGGAGTGGAGGAAGCCTTTAATCCTCGGCCCAAGCCTAACTTCGAATGCCAGGCTTGGGGTTTCGGGTCAAAGCAACCAACCAAACCCTAAGCTCTCAACATGAGTGCTTGGTGTCCAGAGTTCGGCATGCAGACACTCTAAGACTCTAACCACCAGAGACCGGGGTTTGCCTGAAACGGTTTAGGGTTTAGGGATATGAATCGTTGCTAGGCTAATCTTGTCTACAACCTCCAGCGCATAGTCCTGTCGTCCAACATCTTGACCTTTCATCGTTCGATAGTGACATAGAGCCCGAATCCCTAAACCCTTACCCCCAACCCCTAAACCTAAATCCTGCAAGAACCCGTAGCGAACAACATGAATCCCATAATATCCTAGCTACAGCATTATATGAGATTATGCAGTATCTTAATTTTCTTATAATATATCATACATCATACACATATATATATATGTATGTATGTATGTATGTATGTATGTATGTATGTATGTACATGACATAATATAGTATTATGATCTATTGTACCTAGGCTCCGGTTCCTTTGCCAGGAGATGCAGCGGCTGCGCGCCGAGACACCGAGGACCCAGGTGGGCTCCGCTCGCTTGGACGGGGGCACTCTCAGGGTTTGGGGTTTCGTTGGTTTCAGGGTTTAGGGTTTCGTTGGTTGTAAGAGGTTTTCCAGTTAAAGGTGTTGGTATCCAGTTAGGGTTTTATTAGGGTTTTGTTTTAGGTAGGCTTTTCGGTTGATTGATGTCGTAGAAAAGCTTTCAAGGCTGCTTTGCGTTGCGAGCGGTTTTATAAGCATGTTCTATCGGCATTAGGGCTTTTGGGAGAAGAAGATTTCCTTTTTGAAAGGCACTGGAGGTTTCGATGGAGCTGCTTGAAGGAACGTCGCAATCGAATGTTAGAGGCTTTTGGCTTTTAGGAGGGAGAATTGAGGGCTTGTTTGCTGTCCAGAGGCCGTAGGAGCAATGAGGGTTTAGGGAGGTCATTTTGAGCCTGCTAACAAGCTTGTAGTCTAGATCAACATAGCAAGGAACTCATGCTACTTCCACGACATTCTTGTCGTGGACTCAACTAAGCTGCATAAGGCACCACAAAGACAGAGTTTTAGGGGGTGGTCTAAGGTTTCGTCGGCAGGCATTGGGCTGCAGACTTCAGGTCCCAACGGGTCTTTGGAGCATTTTAGGGGTTGATGCTTGGGATCCCAGCATGTGTACACTGTAGCTTGGCTTCATGTTTTCGATTTCGGGTCTTGACTTGGTTTTTGAGTTTGGGACTTAGGTTTGAGAAGTTACTGCGAAGGATCTACCCGTTCAGACGGCTTACAAGTTCATCGGTTGGATTCGACGGGTCCGTTGGTTTCAAGGAGCTTTGCCAGTTCTTCGAGAAACGTCTTACGAAGGTCCCACAGACCAGCGAGTATTAGGAGGAGGAGTAGTGGTAGTCGGCGTCGTCGTCGTAGTAGTAGTAGTAGTAGTAGTGCAGTAGCAGTAGCAGCAGCAGTTGCAATAAAGTAGGAGTGCGTACATGTCAATCGTGTTGCTGAAGATACAACTTGACTGATACTTGGTGCTGGCAGAGGCTTAGCCTTCTTGCTTTGCTTCGGTTCGGCGATTGGGGTGTGTGGGGGTGTGTGACCTCGGCGTTGACTTTCGGACTCCGAACCCAAGCTTTCGCTAGGATTTCGAAATCAAATGGGAGTTTCCGAAGATTAGGGGTACCCTATTTTGGGGTCCTTTTGATAAAAGATCCGACTATTTAGGGTATTATATTCAGGTCCCCGAGTTTCGAGTTTCGGAAACTCCCAAATCAGCCCTGCGACACAGAGCTTTGCTTCCCTACTTGGCCCTACTTTGTAGGGCTTAGGGCTAAGAGCTTCGCTGGTTTCTGGCCTTTGAAACCGCAGACTAAACCCTAAACCCTAGACCTTAAACCCTAAGCCCTAAACCCTAAACCTTAAAACCTAAACCCTAAACCCTAAACCTTAAACCCTAAACCCTAAACCCTCTGTGAACTACCCGAAGCTCACAGGACTTCGGCGCCGCTCTCAGTGCGGAGCTGAAGCAGAAGGAGGCCTTCTTGGCAACATCTGGGTAGTTTAGGGTTTAGGGTTCAGGGTTTAGGGTTTTTTACTATTAAGGCCTCAAATGGGTAGTTGTCAAAATTAGGGTTCCTTCTTGGGTACTCTAAATATTAGGTGCCGTATTATAATAGGGACCCAAAAAGGGGACCATAATTTTGACAACCACCCATGTAGGGGTTCGGGGAGAATACTCTATAGTTTGAGGCGAAGGTGAGAGAAAGGTGGTTTGATATAGTTTTTGTTGGGCAGGGTTTCAGCTGTATGGGTTTCCGAAGGTTACCAAGGACTGCATAGGATTCTATAAGGGTTGTTTTCTGCTTTGATAAGGTAGGCGCCACAAGAATCAGAAGGGGGTTTGGGGTACATTCTAGTATAAGTATGGGTGTCTTTTGTAATTGTTTCCCACTTCTTTCTGAAGGCTTCGCAGGTTTAGGGGTTTGTTTTTGCTTGCAGTGTAGGCTATGGGGCACGGGGCTTCGGGTGCAGCCTCCGAACGCGATCAAGAAACCCCGCCGTGGGCAAGAAACTGCATGACGTCTGAAGCTTCGGCATCCTGCGTATGCCTCAATCTACCCCAAGCCCTAAACCCTAAACCATGCGCCACCCAGATCAGGCCGATATCGAGGTCCTGAAGCAAAGACTCAGGTGGGAGGGGGGGGCCAGTTCATTGGTGTTTGGATCTGGAGGAGACGTCGGGGCGAAGGTCCTTAGGCATCGGAGGTGGTGTCAGAGTTTGTATTAGTGTTGGGAAGGGAACATCGAGTGAAAGAGAGCACCAGCGGAAGTAGCCGCAGCAGCTGCAGCAGTTACAGTGGCAGCAACAGTAGCAACATGTGGCAACCGTTGCTGCTTGTGCTACCGTTGCCACCACCGACCACCGCCGCCGCCGCCAGCACCACCGCCACCACCGCCACCACCGCCACCACCGCCACAACCGCCACCACCGCCACCACCGCCACCACCGCCACCGCCGAAGCGTCTGGGCCCAAGCCGTGTTGTGTGCCCGGGAACAGGGTGTGTCTCCTTGCCTGTTCAGGGTGTTCGGTGTCCCTGGGGTTCCCTCCCCCCTTTGTTTCAGAGCCGGGTCTTCTGCGCATGGGGTCATGGATGCTGCTTCGCGTTCTGGGGCTTCTTCTGACCTTCAGCACTCATCTGCGCGACGCTGGTTGGAAGTTGGTCTCGAGGGCAAACGTGGCAGCGTGGACCCACCGCCGCTTGCCTGCATCCTTCAGCTATCACGTGGAATGCGCTTTCGACAATCTGGCGTGGTCGTGCTCAACAGCGGTCAGCCAACACAGGCTGATGCCAGGAGGGAGGCCGTTCGTATCTGCACACATGGGACTGCATGTGCCTCGAAACCTGCCATCATTGACCTGCATGCCTTGGACTGAACTGGACTATGTATCTGTGGATTGCTTTGGATGCCCGGGATGTAGAATCTCTCGGTACGTTTCTCCGAGCCCCCTGGTTGCGATTCCGACAGGTACGACCATCTCAGCCACTAAGGCGTGCTCGCCGGCGCGGCGCTGGAGGTTCCCCTCCGCCCGCGGCCTGGCAGACAGTGCACTTTTGCATTTCATGCCGAGTTTGCCATGTTACCTTCGGTGTGCTGCTCGGCGCCACGGTCTGTCATGCAGCAGTCATCTCATTGAATCGTGCGACTCCCCCCACTGTCTGCGCTCTCCTACTGCCCGCACTCGTCACCACGAGCTTGGCACACAGGTACCCTGGCCACTGCGGCGCCTGCTGCTCTTCCCCCGCCCAGGAGACGCTCGGGTTCATAGAGGTTGTGGGTCCTTGTGCCTTGTAGGATGTTCTGCATTAGTGGGTTCCCGGCGCATGACGCTTTTGGCGCGGGTTCAGCCTTATCGTAGCCTGCCTCAGCCTTCATTGTTCGCATGTGCACCGAGAGTTTTTCTGCAGCACCTCTGGTCGAGCGACGACCTGGCCCATTTTGGGTTGCATGAAGCTGGCCTATCCCTTAGCCCCCAGACACCAGTCACTTTCATTCCATGGTGCACGTCACCAGCATCAGCTCCCGAACATCTAACGTTCAGCCCACTCGAGCCTACTAAGTCGTGTGTGCGTATCATGCCGCGCCCTCGCGGTCGCCGTGGTGGCAAGAACAGGAATAAGAGGGGCCGTGACTTTGAGCGTGAGCGGGCTCGCCCACCGAAGTCTCGACGTGCCGATCTGGCAGCAGTGAGCTCTGAATCCTCAGAATCGGACATGGAACCGCCAGCTGAAGAGCCGGCAGCTAGCTCCAGGCATGTGCCGACTCCTCGCCCTATTACCTTGTATGCTAGGCCGGCTGATTTGCCAGCGCACACTCCGGCCAGAGCGCCTGTGGAGGTGAGTGATGAGGCTCCTGTGTCAGGTGGTTCAGCCTCCTCGATTATGCCGACTGGGGGGCGTGATCAGAGAGCTGACTTCTCGCCCGAGGCACTTCGCCGTGAATTGCCTCCTGATGAGTTCTTGGCTTTAGCTTCTCTGATGGGTAGGGACTACGCCACACCGACGCAGACTAGCTACCGCGGAGTGGCTTCTAAGTGGATGGTTCCGCGGGCAACCGGAGTATCTGCTAGGGCCGAGGACGCTGCTCCTGCTAGGGCGGCTGCTGTGTGCATTGGTTCTGCGCGCGTACATGGTGGACCTCAGGTCCTCAGGTGGCTTCTATGGCTCGCACCTGGCCTGCCGGTGCGCTTGGGCCCAAAATGAGCGTTGATGCATCTGCAGTACCCCCGCCGCGAGCCACGCCGGTCACAGTCACAGACTCTGCTGCTACAGCCTCCGAGGGAACGGACGATGTGGTTATGGTATTGGGCGGAGTGGAGTACTTGCGTCCTCTGCCGAAACGGCGCCCGCAGTCTCAGCGTACACATCAGCTGCCTCCACTCATCTCTCCGCAGGAGAACGCAGAGATAGAGGCAAGCATGAATCAAGGGGTTCGCTTGGGCATCGCTGATCTCGGCTCGATGTTGCCTTCGGCCTCCTCTGAGCCTGTGGCGGATCACATCACAGACCACAACGCTTACGGGTCGAGCCAAGAGTCCAACATTCAGGCACCGCGGACTCCACCATTCCTGGAAGCAGATTTACTGCTGAGGATCGAGCTCAAAAACCAGGCAGCACAGATGATCCGTGACGGGGAGCTGAGCGCGGATGGCTCGGGCACACCGCCTGCAGCTTTTGAGTTAGATGCCCACTTACAAACCATCCATGATCGGTACGCATATATGGTCAGGTGCGCAGGGTTTCCAGTCAATCCCGTACTCCCCTACTGTTTGGGCTTCTGGGTTTTTGCACTCGCCGACCTCGCTCCACCCCGGTTCCTTTCCTTTGAGACTTCAGGTGAACTAATCGGGACTTGGCGTAGCAGCTCTGACCACTGTCGCTCCAACCTGGGTCCCGGGCCCTCTCCCAACTGCCCCAGGGTCCTGACCCTCCGTCCTTGGCACATTCCCACCCTAATGCGCAATCGCTCCTTTCAACAACACCCGTGGGTGCGCACATGCAGGACCCGCCGCAGGATGCGGCTGCGCCGGCTGTGCCGGTCCTATGCAGGCTCGTCAGCTTCACCGTCAGCTTCACCCCGCTGCTCTGTAGTGCAACGCTGCCATAACACCCTAAGCCCTTGGATTCTTTGGACTGCTGTTGCGCGCGGCATAGGCACCGCCTTGCACTGGCGACTGCTGGCACTTTGGAGGCCTGTCTCCAGTGCTGGTCCTTCTGACCTAGTCCTCGGGGTTGTTGAGGGTTGTCGTGGGCTTGCTCAATCAGTGCGAGGCGCACGAGCAAGGCAAAAGGGCGGTCTCATAAGGCGTACGGGTCGTAGGCCGTTGAGGAGCACAGAACTTGGAACACACCGCCGTGGCACACACAACCATGCGGGAAGAACTGCCCCCGCCTGCGTTTCTTCTCCAGATATCCCACACTTTAGTGGCCCCCCTGGTCCCAAGTCCAGGGATCACAGCACACCGACTGGATGCGGGCTGCAACGCCTCATCCTGAGCCTTCTGATTATGCCGAGTCGTGCTGTGATAGACGCGAGGGTTCCTGCATCAGCCCGGGATGCAGGTGGAGCGGCCTCCGCTTCAGGCTGGCGCACACATGATGCCGCAAAGCCATCGGGCAATACAGTAGCGACGAGCGGGTCGCGTCTTCTTTCAGACCAGACATCGAGAATTCGCAAGCGCACACTTAAGCGTGCCATCGCACGCGCCACGCGTGCAGGTGGAGCCTACTACAGGGGGCGATGGCGCTCGGCGCAACAACTTGGTGCGCCTGCAGCAGCCTCGGAAGATTGTCCATTGCCTGTCACCTCCGACATGGCACGCCCCCCTAAGCATGCACCTCCAGATGCAAGGCCGAAGCCCCGTCACCTTAAAATCCTGACCTGGAATGCCGGTGGTCTTGGGGGCAAGGAGGGCGCACTCTTTGATGAATTGCAGGTCTATGCCAACACGCACCCCTTTGATGTGTTGCTAGTCCAGGAGTCCAAGTGGACGTTCAGCAATATGTGGGAGGACCCTCGGTGGTTCTTTCTGCACTCAGGCTCGACCGCTCGCGACTTCAAGCAAGGTGGGGTTCTCATCATGTTGTCCAAGCGGATTGTTGACCCGGGATCTGTCCGGTTCGTTGAGCCCTTGCCGGGGCGTATTCTGTGGGCACACTTCACGCACCGTGGGAGACCGATCGACATTCTCAACATGTATCAGCACACATGGCGTGGCTCCGAAAGAGTAGCTCAGCTCCGACACCGTGCCCTAGATGTGCTCACCAAATCCGTCCAGGCAGTCTCGCTTCGCAGCGTTCTGATCGTGGCAGGCGACTTCAATGCCCAGTGTGACACCAGTCTGCCTCATGTCGGTCCAACAGTCATGCCACACAAGCACTGGGCTGAGGATTCAGGGGACTTTCAGTCGTTCATCGAGGG